CGACGAGCTACAAACCACAGCTGTCAAATTATTTTAACACGTACTCTTATGTAGATAATTATTTTGGCGACGACCGGGCTACGCGACGGCTGTGGTTGTGGCCAGATTAGATCTATTTCTATTTTTCTGGCGACAGATAAGGTTCTTCCTCTTCTTTTATGTCAAACTCATACAAATTCATGATGTCGCTGCCGCGTGTAAAGAAATCATGTCGCCATCGACAAAGCGTTTAGATAATGAAGATGACAAATTGGAAGCTGTGGTCTGTAGCTCGTTGTTTTCAATGTGTTCAGAACTATACATCTCAACACTAGAAGAAACCACAATAATCATTTTTTTTTTGTTTCATACAGGACTCGGGAAAATACAAGAAATACCATAAAACGTTCATAAAAATTTTCAATTTTTTAATCGATTTTGTTGCCTATTAAATTTTAGTACAATAAAGTGCAAGTTTAAAGTCGATAAAAATTACCGTTGATTTTTAAGATTTTCTTTTTGTCGCGGCTGTTGCGCATTTTCTATAATATACATAAAAGATAATAGATATTGTTCATACGTTATATGGAATAAAATGCTAAACACCCTCGACAAAAAAAGCTCTCAAAAATCAACGGTAATTTCTAGCGACTTGAAATAAAATTTCATACTCTAAATTTTTCTAAGAAATCGGGTTGAAAATTTTAAAATTTTTCCTAAGTTCTGTATGACATTAAAAAACTGGATTCTGGTGGTTTTTGCTGTTGAATGAATGCTATTTTTATAAAAATATTAGAAAAATGTGAGGGGCATGTAACTAGATGTTGCAAGCAAAGTAAAGCCTCGGATGATACCCCCACTTATGATGACGACCACGGCAAACGTTGAAAGGACCTCGTAATGACAAAAGCCGACATCACCGCCATCCAAGAAAGGTGCGTAAAGAAAATGATCTTACTTTAGAACGTCAATAGTAAATGTTCTATAGACTTTTCAACTTCAGCAGCATGTTAGTACTTTTATATATATTTACATACGAATGTGTGTGTCACTATACATATGTACATATATGTATGTACTTTATGTACATACATATGTATTCGGTATTTTTCCTACTTCGCCGAATCCGAAACCGCTAATGGAATGCGTGCATCTTGTTTTCCTCGCAGCTAACACACACAAACATACATATATGTACATACACCTCCGAAGGCACATGCTAAAACTTTTTAATGTAACTTAGGCTCCGAAATAAAATCATCATTAATTACGAAATGCGAGGCCAACAACAACACAGACTAAAAAACCAAGCCAGTGTGGGTGTATACAGGGGGGGCCAAGTGGGAAAACTGCCCACCCCTAGACTCAAAAAAACTTGAAATTTTTTTCTTTTTATTTATTGGCGCCTGTGACCGCCTAAGCGATTTTGGCCGAGTCCAAAAGATCACGCCAGTCGTTTCTCTTCTGTCAAGTGAAGCAGAGTTCTTCTCCACCTGGACTTTCCAACGCAGTGGGGGTCTCCCTCTTCCTCTGCTACGCTGCGTTAAATAAATTCGGGAATGTAGGCACAAAAAAAGCTGCTTTCCAATTGCTTTCTTCCGCTTGAAAGGCAACATTCATACCGTCATTATGCCTAATTGAGAAATATAGCAAGATACTTGAGCCAGTGGCGACCGTACTCCAGTCGAAAAACCTGGATCATAAAAATAATAAAAGAAAACAAGAAATAAGTTGACAATCACTCTGTATAGCTTTTAGTATTAGCAACGAATACAAGTGAAGCCTTGAATATTGAATTAAGTCTCCCGCGAATAGTTGATCGACAAAAGCATTGAGCAAACCACCTAGCCGCATCGCAGAGATAATACTTTCAACGTTTACTTTATATCCCTATACCTAAGTTTCTTAATAACATCATTGGAAATAAGATTTAGTGAGAAAAACTCGCCAGCGTTTTATTCATCGCTTTACAAACTTTGAAATTGCTGGATATAGTATTGAGGTTTTACGGACTACACGGTTTGCAAGCGGAAGTACAGCTATGGGGTTCATTGTTGCAAGGAGAACAGAACACAGATGTAAACTTGATAGACTTGTATAAGGAGTCGGTTATGTTTTATCCTCAATTTAACGGAGGCATTCAAATGATTTTAGCTTTACCATACTCCATTGTGAGGTCGTTCAGCACACTTCGACGTGCCAAAACTTGGCTACGATCAACAATGCAAGAATACCGCTTGAATGGCTTATGCATGCCCAGCGTTCAAAGCCAAAGGGTTGAGCAGAAACCGTTTGAAAGAGATTTTCTGAAGATACCAGAAAACTTATACATACTTGCTTAAACATAAAATTTTCTATTCATATGTATGTATTCAAAAAAAAAATAATAATAATAAAATTTTATTAAAAACCATTTTTTCCGCCTATACATATAAGCTCCGGCGCCCCCCCTTGGTCTAAGGCTGGCTACGCCCTTGCAAATGATACGCCAACAATGGAGAAAAACCAAAAGCAGCTAAGCAAAAATTGGAAACCAGTTATATTACTCACTACCGATAAGGATTTGACGCTGCATCGAAGCGCTGCTGGCAAACTTGCAGCCGCATCGCTAAAAATGCACTACATACAGCATGCAGAAAAATAGAGAATGGTTGCGATGTACAATAATATGGACGGTCTCCTGCAGGGGCTATGCGTTAGCCAAAACTCAAGCGAACGTGTTGAAATTGAAGCTCAGCTGGCGGCGAACCCGACCAACCCGTCCGCATACGGAATTCGAGTATTAAATTGCAACGACCTACATATGTATGTAAAATGTGATAAAGAAATAGGTGCAATGCGAAGAAGAATACTTAAGAGACGCTCACAAATTGCACACACACAGGGGATGGAGGGAGGTGTCAGGAAGTCAGTTGCAGCAGCGGCGCCTATTGAGTAGCGGCTCTAACAGAGGCGGTGAGCTCGACAGCAGTGAAACGTAGGTAATTTTGAAAATTGCAGCGAACGCATTTCAAAATCGCCATTTTTGGCTGCTCGAGGGCAGCAAATGTGAAATGAAGTTTCTTTCTTTCAATTTTTTACATGGTTTTCGTTGGAAACTTTAAACTTCAGCAAATCAATTCGATACAACCAACAACCGCATCGCTTGTGCATTTATATTGTATGTAGTCTGTGTGGTTGTTGTTGCTGTTATTTTGGCATTTTTCTGTTTTAGTTGTTGCAACGTATTTACCTAGAGTGCAGCTGAATTTGCCACAAAATACAATGCAAGTTCAAATTGCAGAAGCATCGGAATGTGCAAGGCGTTCGCAAACTGCTGTTGTTGAAGTTGTTGTAGTTTAACTGTTTTTGTTTTTGTTCTTGCTGTCGCCTTAATAATGACGGCACTGCCCAAACGTCAGAGAGCTTGTTTTTCTTGTAAGCCAATCGTGACTTTGACAGCGAAAATATGTAGTTGCGCCATTGCAATAAAAATTCAAGTGGAAGCGGCAACAACAACAATGGCGCATGCGCAGCCACGCAGCTAAGCTAATGGCTCATTCCCATTACGAAAGCCAAGCAGCGCCGAATTTAACTTGAAACAACGGATCAGTGAGCGATGCAACCGATTTTCGGGGCCTCCAAAATTTTGCCAAGATGTTTAGCGCGCTGGCAGTATAGTATAGCAACAACTTCAGTGAAAACAACAATAACAACACGCATAGTGAATGCATTAGCAGAGGGCAACACCAACCAACGAGTTGTGTTGATTGAAGCAAAATAATGAAACTTGTTTGCAGTGCAGCGACTGCAGCGCACATGAACAACAACAACAAAGAGAAGACGATACGAACAGCAAAGACAACGAAAAATAAAACTGCAATAAAAACGCAAGCAATAAAGCGTTCAGCAAGAGCTTTGTATTTTGTAGCTTTTCTATGCAATGCGATATTTTTTCAAGGATATTTTCGTATGGCTGCATTGCATTTGGGAAGCATTTTCGAAACTGAATTACTTGTTTTAGTTTTTTATAGTTTTTTTTTTTGTTTTTTTGGTGCAGTTTGTTTTCGCTTTTTCGCCTTTTAGTTCGAAGCCATTTACGGGTTTGCGTGCAGTGTCCAATAAAGAATGGTGGAAGGGCAATTGAAAATATAAATATGTGTTTAAAATACAATAAAAAACTAAGGCAATGTGTATGTATGTACATTAGGGGGATCCAAAATAGCTAACCTAACGAATTTATGGCTTTAAAAGGACCTATTTACTGAGAAGAATATTATCCCATTTGGAAAAATTTTGATTTCAATTTAAAAAGGTGTCGGTGGGCATTTGAAATGTTCCGTTTAATTAACATGCAAAAAATTTGTTTTCATTGAAAATGTTATAACTAAGGCCCGGATTTTTATGCGCTAAAAAATCAAAAATATGCACTAAAAACAAGCAAAGTAAGCAAAAAGACTTCTCGCATTTGTTTTGCTTTTTTTAATATTTTTTTACTTTTCATATTTTATTACAAGTTTGTAATTATTACAAGGATATATTGTAATTTTTAGCGCCACGAACAACTCAATATTAACTAAATATATACATATCTAAGACTTTAAAATATGTAGGTATTAAAACAAATTAAGCACTTAAAGTAAGAAGTAATTCATGTACAATAAAATAAAAATACACATTTGTTGTCCATTTTTTTTTTCAATTTGCTTTGTTCAGGGCTTTATTGGCAATCAAGATAAATAGTTTTTTAAAGTTTTCAAAGGTAAAGCTTTCCTATTTGGCCAAAAAATGTTTTGTATAAGGAGAACGTTCTTTCTACGTCAACATTGGTGATAGGGGCGTACTTGAAGCAAGCTAGTTCATTGGGATTATAGCTATTAAGCAGGGATTTGTACATTTTCAGTTCAATAAAAGAATTTCCAGACAACACCGAAATGTACATATCTGTACAAATGTACAAGTCGTGTGATCCCTGCTTAACAGCTGTCACTTGCGGCCATTTGGCTACTTTGCACAACAGATATTCCCTTAAGTTTCTTAACCTTAGAACCGTGACTTAGCTATACAACTTAATCTCGTGACTTGGGTACTCAGTGCCCAGTAATGTATTTCATATGGAAATTTAAGCTTTCTAAGAAGTTTTTTTCTAAAAAAACACAATATTTCGCTTATTGATGCACATATTTTAATGAAAAATGTTTTTATTGTTAGAAACAAAGGTTGTTTTATAGAAAAAGATATAAATCATATAAAGTTTTAGTTTTAAACCGCTCAGATGGGTGAAATTCTCCGCTGTCTTTTTGATGCGTTTTGATTTGGTGTCGACGTTGTTGGAGTATTGTCCTCATCTTCATCAATATCTGAGTCCGTATCAGCATCGGCATTGTATTTTGCGAAATAGCACTTTTCACATGTTCTTATATAGTGTTTGGTGCATGTCGGAGTAAGGCAATGGTCACAAACCGCTGTTGTTTTGTTGTCGGTTTTAGAAGCTTTGCATGTTTCACACCGCCGTTTCAAAGTGCTTATCTGCGGAAGGAAAATAAAGTTTTAAAATATATTTGAAAATAAACTTATTTTGAAATTAAACAAATTATGAAAGCCTACCTGTATTGCTGGACGCGATTTCGGTTCTTCAGGAGCCCGTTTGAAATCTATCAAGTCCATAGCAGTTTTCGTTGCAGAATTAATTTTTGTTTTGCAACGGTTGTGCAATTGTTTCTGTGCCAGCTGCATAGAGAGCTCTTTCAAAAATATTTTTCGCTTTTCAGACTTATTGGTGTTCCACATAGGGTGACTATGCTCAAAAAGCCTGAACGCTGCAAGTCCAGCAACATCCAGCATATTATAAAATAATGCCATGGGCCAGCGGTTTGTTTTTCTTTTGCCAGTGAATCCACGCAGCATTTTGTCAAAAGTATCAACACCACCTTTATGCTTATTATAGTCATGTATGACTTGTGGTTTTTTTGTTACAGGATTCACATCTTCGCTGGAATGGGCAGTTGAAAGCAATAGCACGTTTTTCTTTGAATGTGTTGTAAAGCTTACCAATTGCATAGATTTTGAAAAGCAAAACACTGATTCAAACACACCCGTTTTCTTTGCTTCTTCAGAAGATGTAAAAAGTTTTGGCAATTGCGGCTTATTGCCTCTTATTGTGCCCACGATGGTAGTATTCCGTATAAGCGATTCCTCCGCCAAGTCATAGCTTGTGAAAAAGTTGTCCATGGTGATATTCACACCCATATCCAAATATCGATCGCTGAGTCGCATTACAAGATTGCGCGCAATTCCAGTTGACCTTTGTTCATTAGGCTGTGCACCCAAATATACTTCGCCTGCAAGTGGATAATTGGATGTTGCGTCAACAAGCCAAAATATTTGTATGCCATATTTTCCAGGCTTGGAGGGAATGTACTGGCGGAAACTGCATCGGTTTCTTGTTGAAAGTAACTGTTCATCAACTGTCAATTCTTTCGACGGGATAAATGGTATCGTCAAATTCGCCAAGAATAATGTCCATACATGACGAATAGGTGCCAACTTATCGTGCCGTAATCTCTCAGCACGAGTCCTGGAATCATCAAAGCGTAAAAAGCGGCATAATTGCTCAAACCGATGCAATGACATCACTGCTCTGTAAAAGGGCATGTTCATTTTGTGAAAAAGATCCTTAGCATGAACTAAATTTGCTTTTTCAGCAACGCAGTATAAAATTATTGCAATAAAAGCGTATATTTCATCCGCATTTGTGTCTTGCCAATATCTTAATTTTTTTGGAACTGTTTGACGCATATTTGCTTGAATTACCCTTTTAGCTTTCCTATTTGTCTCAAGTGCAATACCTTCAACAAGGGACACTGGGAAAACGCGTATGAAGGCATATATTTTTGACTCGAAAATTTCCGTGCATATTGACGTCGATTGTCTGCGCATTTCCAAAGCCTGTTCTGTTCGCCGTTTTTCAGTTTGGCTTGGCATTGACCACCATATGGTTTTGTCGTTCCTTCCTTGACCACAATATTTTTCGCCACGATTGGCCTCAATAACCGAAGTTGACAAATGAAGTCTGCTTTCATCAGGATCTATATCTACTGCAGCTTCCTCGTGGACATATTCTTCGAAACGTGGATCTGGAATGGGCTCAGCATTATCTTCTCCGAAGTCAGACTGGTCACTGGGTGTAGGTTCGTTGTCATCACCATATGTAGGTTCTTTCCCTGCATCATCATTATCGCTTTCATGAGCATTGAAATAACTTGCAATATTTTCCTCCTCTTCTTCCGTCAATTCACGGCGTAGGTTGGCCAAATAAACCGCCAATTCCTCACTCATTTCAAAATCTATAACTATTACAACTAAAAAATGAACTGCTCACTTGAAATTTTTACGCGAAACTGATTAAAAATGCCCAATAACCACCAAAAACCGTTAGAAAATTTATGTTCTCCATACAAAATATATGAAAAAATGTATGGGCACTGAGTGCCCCAAGTCACGTATAGCGTACTCATAATATAAAATACCGTTACTTTCTTTTTATAAAATATATACACCTAGAATTCAGTCAACTTATAAACCAAGGTGCAATCTATCTGCCTATGAAAAAAAAAATCACATTGGGCTTCCCAAACCCCCGAAATTCGATATCAAAAATTAATATGGGCACTGAGTGCCCAACTCACGGTTCTAAGGTTAAACCCCTTATTTTTTGTAGAATGGTATCCAGTTTTTCTTGATTGTTTGCCCTAGTTCACCCTGCACGCTTTGAATAGTAGTAAAAGCAGTCTCCACAAGATGCACTTGTTCAGCCAATGTTTCAGCAAATTTTAAAAATATTTTTTCCCATTCGGCATTATATCATCAACATTACTGAAGCGAGCCCTTACATCTTCGGCCACTCGGTGCATTGTGTGCCAAACAAGTAACGCGCAGTAACTTTGGGTAAAATAACTTCAGCCCCTTTGCTGATTTTACCATATCGAGCCCTAGCCGCCAAAACGTAAGCGACATATTTTTCAAAAATTTTCTTTTTGATGCAGAAATGCCCCTATCGATGTATTGAGGCCTAAATGCCCCTAGAGCATCTAGACACCAAAAATAAAATTTTGAAAATATGTCGCCCACGTTTTTTTGGCGGCTTGGGCTCGATATATGGCGCTGCGTCATTGGCATTAAAATAATTTTCGACGAAATCAGTACGCAATAGTTGCGTGAAATCATCAAATGCTCTTGCAATTGTGGAGTGATTCTTCCGTTCTAGACAGACGGCGTTTAATAAAAAATGCAATTAAATATGCTTTTTTTTGACAAAACATGCCTGTATTTGCATTTAAGGCAAAATATGTAAGAATATGCACTGACAAATCGATGTCATCTTAACGCAAAGCTCTTGATACGCAACATTTGTTAATCTTGTAAGTTCCTATGACTTACCAAAAAAAAAAATGGAAATTGCATAGAAACCGGCTAAAATTGGAAAAGAGACCCAGTGCTCACACCGCATTTTGTCTCTCTGAAAAAAAGTAATTTTGCGTAAGGTCGGCCACCTAGAGATGCAGTGGTTAGCGAGCCACATGCTGCGGTTAAGTGAGAGGCCTTTAGAGCAAATTTCGTTAGATACAAATTGTCGAGCTATGGCCCATCTGTAAATATAGGTGTAAATCCTGGATCTAAGTCCGAGCGGTTTGCTAAGTCGCGTCTGTCTGGAGAGAAAACCTTTTGTCGAAGCAAAAAATTTGGGCTGATGTAATTCAGTTAATAATTATGTAGGGTTGCTGGAATGGTGCTCAGAATTTTGAGGTCCTACCATGTGTGAGCTGCATTCAATCTGGTTGCGTTGCAACCTGCTTGATATCTACCGTAAAGGTCGATAAGGAAAATATTTAATATCCTTTCTACCCTAGCCTAACTGAGGGTAGAGGGCAGGGCTACCGTGATGAAAATTATTGCAGCGCTTTGTATGCTTCCCGATATTCTCCTATAAGAACACATCTCTATAGCCTGCCACCATACGGTGTTCCCATAAAAAAGGTTGGATCGGAACTGCCGTAGATAATTCTAAATTTAAGGACACTTGCTATCCAGCGGCATGTGGCAACGTCATTCGTTTTGCTCTGGACGAAGCTGTCTTGTAGAGAGCGCGTTGTATGTTATCGAAAGAAGCATCCTTAGCCAGTGTTTAGGCGCGTCTGCTAACACCAGTCACCTGCTATGTACTGCTACGTGTGAAAAAATTTCCTTTGGGAAATTTATTAAATTTTTGCACATGCACTTCTCAACTGCCATGTAGTTGAACTTTCTTAAGTTTTAATTAGACGACACTTCAAAGTATGCTTGGCCTAGTCTGATACATCCTCCGGAAAATGCTTACATGACTTACAATCATGCAGAGGTGGTTACCATTGGCCCCCTCACTGAGTTATTCACCCAGGAAGAAACCTACGGTAAACTTGCTGGTATACAGTTTCTTCTTCAGATCCAGTGCAGTTCTCTCTTCGCTTTTATTCTTATTCAATTTCTCTGATAGTTCGGCCACAGAAAAATTTTAGTTATTGAGGCTGTAGCTTTTAAAGCAAAGCTAACAAATTACTTTCTTCCGATGATGAGGTCGTGCGTATATTAGTCCTCAAAGAATAATAAAAAAAAGATAAAAAATATCTCCAAATTTTCAAGGATATTTAAGCACAAAGGTTGTAAAGACATTTTTCATACCCATTCGACCTTATGCACAAAAAATTTATTCTGTTAAAATTCTACAGAATTTTTTCTTTTATATGATATCCTTATTATTATCCTACATTGCACCGAATTTTTTAAATAACTATTAGAAATAATAATTTTTTTCCTTAAATAAAAATCATGACACCATAGACAAAAAGTAAGTATGCAGTTTTACTATAATTTACGCATAGTTTCGCAAATATATATTTTTTTGTGTGTAAAATTTACCGTTACTGACGGTGTTATAAACCAATTTTTAGCAAAATTCTTAATTTATGCAATTCTTCATTTTATACACCGTAACTTTAGCTTTCATTAACTTAAAGTCCTCAGCACTTCGGAAGCACCTAAGCGGCACTTATTGAATTTATTCGCGCTCAAGGTGAACTGGCTGTTGCTGTTTGTAAACACCTAACTACAATAACCGTCATCTCACTGAATACATACAAACATCCTTATACATACACCTGTATGTACTTAGTATGTGTGTGCACCAACAAACAAACCAATAACCGATCGTCCGTATGGCGCGCCGTTGCGTAATCACCTTCAACTCAAATGCATTCATCTTGCAAGACACTAAAAAAAAAACAAAGAAAAGCAAAAAATAGAGCTAATAAAGTAAATGTGTTAATTTTATTTCTCAATAATCTGAATTGTAAACGGCAAAGCAACTACCTTTACTTAATTTTTGCCTACGTAAACACATACGTACATACATATGTACAGTGTACACACTTAGTAGAAATAAACAGGCAAATGGCCTCTAATTCATGTAAATCCCCACATCCAATTGCTTTCTTCTCAGCAAGTAAATGGCTTGAATTCTTGTAAATCACTTGACCCGAAAATAGTTAACCCCAAACGCAGCTTACAAAGGTCAAAATACATATGTTTGTAAGCTCACACACATGTCTACACATGCATACACACGCACACGCACAATTTCGCACTTGAAGTGTCTCATAATACCCCGT